TATATATATATATATATATATATATATATATATATATATATGGATATTTTCCCAGCGTAAGCTTGTATTGTCATTGTTCTATTGTTTTTCGCTGGAAACTTTTGCCAGACGAAAGTACTTGAAACTTTTCACTTCGAGTCGAATGCAATGAAGCCTAGCAATTAACAATCGATGCTTAAAATGCTGCCAATTAACAATTAACAAGCTTTCAGCCCCAAAAGAAAAGTTTGGTCTCACATTCAAGCGGATTTTTAAATAGATTTATACTCATGAAAAATATATATGCATAGATACACTAGTTAATAATGGATTGAAAATTGTTAATTGTATGGCGTTAGTTGAGGCCAGCACGCATTTGAAAGGGTCATCGATTGCTCGATTCACTTGACCGCACAAATTCCCATTGGCCATTTAAATAAAGCCATAGAACAATTTAGTTTCACACACGCACAGGATTTAATGACACCCCCGAAAATTTTAAGCTAATTACACACACACTTGATGGTCATAAATTAGCTGCAGTGCTTGAAATGCCTTTTTATATATAATATTCAAATTGATGCAATTAACGTGATTACGTACTTAGTCGACTAATTGGCCGGCAAAGGGACATCGCAGCGGACATTGTTTGAGCCATTGTCCTTCAGCTTTCGTCGACATGCATTTCTTTGCCCAGTCCACATGGACAATGGCTCACAGAAATTAACTGAGTTATTAGCTCGTTATCTGTCGCACTTCATATTTATACAGCTGGCTGCCGAATAGCGGCGCCACATCATCTAACCAGTGGAAGCAGCTCGTGCTGGCTTGGAGATACCCTGTAACCAGAATATAGATTGAATGGGTATATGAAATTGACTTTAGCTAAAAGCTCAGTCTCTGTTTGGCCTGCCAATCGCTTCCGTTTAGTCTTGGTATCATACCCGCCTCGTGGCATTTACCTCGCTTTACAGGGCATGAATTGAGCACTGACAAGCGCGAAGAAAGCGGGCTGTAGGTGGGCCCAGAGTGTTGCTGCTTGTTGCTTAAAATTCAAACAATGTGTTGATGCCTTCACACCAACAACACATGCATAATTAATATGCAAAAGAAGCAAAAAACAGCAACAACATCAGCAACGGCGGGACAAGGGCCATAGGTTTGGGGAGTGGCAAGGGTATGGGTAGAGGGGGACCAAAAGTTTTTGGCCGAGCTGGAAAATTGAAAGGGTTAGCATACATTGCGGGGGTGTGCGGGGCGCATCGTTAGACGACATTTTGCAGCTCTGCTGCTGCTTCATTATTACAGCTTCCGCGTCAACATCATTTCCGCAAACAGCAACAACCACACACACACACACAGATACAGAGAGCGCTTTGTTGGTGTTGTTGTTATTATTGCCATGCATAATTCATATGTGAAACGCAACAATAGGTGGCAAAGCAAACGAAGCAAAAACATAACCTCAAACCTCCTGCATGCCACTGAAAATGGTTTAATTGGAGCTCCACACCCCCTCGCTCGCCTCGCTCCCCTCGCACCTACTAGCAATCCCTTACACCCTCTTCCATCCTCTTTGGGCATTTACATATTTCAATGCGTGCAATTAAGCGTGTTTGTGGGAGGTTGGAAAGGGGCGGCACCTTCAAACTGTCGTGACATGGCGAAAAAGTTGAATTTTTTGTTCGAACTTTTCGACAGAGATGGCTTTTATATTTGAACAGATAAATATGCTGCCAGCTTTGACGCACCTTTTTCTAATCTCTCCCTCTATTTTCTCTCTCCCTCTATATCGTATTTCAGGCAAATCACGACATTTTACGGTGAACGGCTTGAGTGCTAATAACACGCTTCAGCAGCAACAGTACAGCGTGCAACAGCAGCAACAGCAACAGCAACAGCAGCAGCTGCAGCCAGCGACTGACACACGCAACATATACAACAATCCCTACAATCCACAACAACAGCAACAACAACAGCAGCAACAACAACAGCAACAACAACGCACAGCACACCTATTTAAGGCGCTGGCTGCCTCTGCTGCTGTTAGCGGCAATAATAGCTTGAGTCATCCATATGACTTCTCCAACTCGTCATCCTCATCGAACGCCAACAACGAGCAGCAGGGATCGTCATCATCGGAGGCAGATAACGCGTTTCTAACTCATAATAACGGTAAGTTGCCGAAAGAAGACTTATCTCTAAAGCGGATAAAAAGTGTTTAGCAGATAATAAATGGGAAATGAAAATGCTGCAAGAGTGAAAATATATTTCCATTCATTTTTTTCTAATGAAAAATTGGTGGATTTTTTGAAAAAATTCGCTCTTTGTTATTATTTAAACTGAGTTAAATTAGCTTTATGCTAGAATGATAGTATAATAATAATAAAATCACCTCAAATTGATTTTTATGAATCTACACATTAAATAGCTATCAGCACTCTGATTACTCCTAATAAACCGTATTGCAACTATCGATTATTATCGACTAAATTGAAATGGGATGAGTTATCGAAGAACTATGATATTATTATGTATTACGTACATCTAAATTTTCATATCTCTAAGTTCATAGGGGATATGGCTATATAGACTCAGCTCGCCCCCTGATCAACAATTTATATTTATAGGGCCTGCCACGCCTCTTTCTGCCTATCACAAATATTTTTACAAACAATTTCTCATTTTCAATAGGTTCCAATAGCCGATTCATTATAATTTTCGATTTATTTTAATTCCACAACGCCTACAATCGTCGTAGATAAGAGATATCCAATATTGAATGCTAGGTATCAGGATAGTAGTATAGCATAGTCTATGAGTCGAGCTGGCCTGCTCAATTCGACACATCGAATGCTTGTACTTCCGCCATATAAAGAATAAGCTTTAAGCTTTTGACTTAATTTGATTAGGACTTGCCGCGTTGTACTCTACTGAGGTGCATCGTAAATTGGAAAGCAACTAGAGCAATTAAAAACACAACTTCGAGCCTTAAGTAATATTTCCGCTGCTGCATAATTCCTACCTCGGCTGGCACAACAAATCAAAAAACCTTGCTCACCTGCCTGCTTGGCTGGCAGTTTTCCATAATTTGCACGCAATTTGCATTTCAAGTGGCCAATCCCCCCGCCCTCGCCCTCGCTTTCGCCAACGATCTGCAGCCAGCTCCACTCAATGCTCAAGTTGGCCACTAGCTTCTCCTTGACTTGCGACTGCCTTCTAATTACAGCACAAAAATGTGCTCATTGCGCAGCCCCGAACCCAGGCCTTCCTCTCTCCGGCTGGCAAACTTGGCGCCCGACGTGAAATTAATGTGAGAGCTCATAATTTGTTGAGCAGAGCAGAGCGGGTGGGACACACTCTCAGTAGCTGCTCGAGGAGAATGCGAGTTTCCTTTCGGGAAGAAAGCAGGAACAAATTACGCAGTAAACCGCCTGGCCAAAGGTGTGGTGAATTGTGGCCAAGATGTATGTGGCTGCTGAGCCATGTTGTTTCATTATAAGCGAGCATTGTAATGGAGAGCACACTGAGAATGTAACAGTTGAACTAACTACTTAATTTGATTGAATTTCAACTTTGACTGATGCAATCTTGTAAATATTTACCCACACGCACATACACACACAAGCACAGACACACTCAAATGGGTTGAGGCTCTCGACTAAAGCTGAAGTATTCTTACATGTAATCTTAAGCTGAAAATCTCGTTCTCGGAAGCCAGACTAAAGCTGCCCTTCGTCTGCCTGGCTGCCTGACTGGCTAGCTGCATTATCCACAAATCATTGGGGGCTGCTGGGGTAACTATAAAATGTGGCAAAGTGCAATTGCCGCCCAGGACAATGGCAGACGGGCAAACACGCCGCCTGTTATGCAATAAAAATCATTAAAAAATATATAAAAATGAAAGCGGCAAGCTAACAAGGCGCTCGATGCTGGCGCTGATGCTGATGAAGCCATGGAAAAAATTGAAAATCCTCGCAAGCAACGCGTCGAGTTTGCTAGAAACTAAACGAGCGCCCAGCGCCATAAACTTAAATCACGATTAAAAGTGTGATTATCCTTGTGGCGCTACAAATCGCCGCTGCAGCTGACAGAGCACAGAGGAGCCAGAAGAAGCCAGACGTCGGCCACTAGACGGGCACAACAGTGTCCTAGCCCGGCCTGTCCTGCCCTGCCCTGTCCTGTCCTTTCCTGTGCTGTCCTAGCTGCTCCTGTAGCTTGCTTGTTGCTTGTTGTTGCAGTTGTCTGATTTTATATCTTTACAACCAGGCGCGGCTGTGGATGAGTAGTCAGAGCAGTCTCAACACAAAGTTGCCGTCTGGACCCCAGTCCGTGGGTGCTGTCTTTGTTATTCTGTTGTGTTTATTTATACCCTGCACTCACTCTGAGAAATACAAAGCGGGTATATTGCACGCAGTACAGGGACTTGTCACTGGCGTCATTATATATGGGATACACATTTAATTGTGAATAATCTGTGTATCTGCGTTCGGATTGCAATATGCTCAGGAGCCGGTGTCTAAGGAGGTATCTGAGATTCCAGTTGAATGAGAGACACAGCACAGCCTCAAGACTGTCAGCATGTGTGTGCACGCTACACGATACAGAACATGTCCCAGCTTCTGTAGCCTCAGCTACGAGGCATACATTCATGTATGCATAGAGTTGAGTGCGCGGTCTTCAAGAGAGGGTGTCGAACGTCATTTAAAGATAAATCTGGGCAGCGTGTGTGTAGTGCACGAGGAAAAAAATATAGGTAATTGTTTTCTGTTTTCTGTTGCCTTAGCCGAAATAAGAAAAAGCTTTTTACGCAATCTAAAATTGGGGAAAGTATTAACAGAAGCCAGGCGACTTAAAGCCCTTTTAGGGGAGGCCCAAAAATAAAACTACATTTAAACTGGAATTAAATTCCTTGCCTTTGTCCCTTTTTCAGGACATAATAAAGCATTATTAGCACTCGCATTTTAAATAAGTACAGCAAATCAAAGCCAGGTTCCGTACACATGTCCACAATATCCATCAATTGTTTTGCAAGGCCGATTGCCGCCGCCCTAAGCTGTCAATTGGTCTGCAGACCGGAGCCGTCGTCCAGTCACTGCCTCGATTTCAGTGCAAATACAAACAGGCGAATGCAAATAAACAAGGCGTAGAAGGCCTATAAACAAAGGAGCAGTCGATGGTGGAGGGCCCATCCTCCCTCCTCCACCCCAGGCCTGGCTGTTCTCGTCCTGGCCGCCCTGATGGGCGTTCGGCTTATCACGATTCACCCATCACACGAGCAACTGGCTGTCTATCCGTCCGGGCATTGGCTTGCGTTTCGACCCCAGCCGAATCAGACATTGGACAATTGACTCTCGTATTTCAGTGATGAACTTAACTTATGTCAAAATATGCGATAAGTAATCCTTTTTGGCTCCGCCAGCCTGCTTCCTGCTGGCACTCAGGCAGCTTGGCAGCCAGGTCAACTTCATTCGCCCAAACTGAAGCGGCCTAGGCCTAGGTCTGTGTAAATATTGTGCTTTTGGTAATTTTGCAGTTTATGGCCTCGCCATTTTTGTACATTTGTCACGAAATCTAAAACGAAAAGTATATTTTGTGGATGATGTTGTCCTTAGACGCTTGCGCCTGTAATGAATTGTGATAAGCCAAACGCCGCAAAGTTGGGAAATCTTCCTTTGTTTGTTGTTCATTTGCTGTGCGCTTTCAGGAATTGAGCTCACAGCTACGTAATTGATTGATTTACTTTCCTGTTTCTGTTGTAGTTTCTTCCACTTGCCATAGCATATCTGGCTATAATTTTAGCTTTTCACAAAATATTTCCCTTTAATTGCGACAATTTCATGCTTCCGCCTCCGGGCGGGTCCCCTTGCCTGATAGGCCTGTATCTCTATATTTGACCTGTCGCATCGATGGCCATAAGCCCGTGGATCATCAAGCGTGGCCAACGTTAAGGGCTCGAAAAACCCCCTGCTTCACGCCGAGATTCGCAATTAGGATAATCTTCGAATGACTACACAAATATTGGCAAAATTGGAAAATTCGCTGCAGACATTTTGTCAGACAGATTTTGGGCTATGCATTGGACACGATGTAAGTCAGTGCACGTCATGGTCATGGTCCTGCTTTCTGATCCCTGGGTTGGCTTCGTCTGTATATTTTGCCTTGTAACTGTTATTCTTGTTATTTCTACGCATTCGCCCGCCTCTCGGGCTTCGGGACTTTCAGGCAAATAGCATTTTCCGTATTTTTAGATGAAATGCGTCTCTTGGGGGCGGCCTGCATGATTGGGCGTTCGGGCGATGGGCGCTGAGCTCTGGGCTCTGTGCGAGGGGGTGAACGGATGGGTCAGCTGCCCTCTATTATATGCACATAAAAATAAATTCCAAGACTTTATTATGCCCATGTACTTGTCATTGTCGATATGTGTGCAATGGACTGTGCTTGCATAAGGGGGCGCGTGGAACATGCACACCGATCCCTCCGTGGGGGAGTCGACACTGGGTAATGCAGCTGCGAGGACGCGTTTGCACTGGGGTAGTCCAATGTTTAATTTTGTGCCAATGCTCAATTGAATATCGCTCGAACGCTTCATTGGATTACCCTGAGTAAATAACGAAAACTGCATAACTTTTGCAGTAGTTATGAATGGTTGAGTGCTTGAAGGAGTCCGAAAAGAAAACAACACATAATCCTTGCTGTGTCAGCTGACGTGGAGCTCTCGCTGCCCAATCGTGTATGACCTGCCAAATCAACAGAGTCAGTTCACTGGAGCACGACGGTACGCCTACGCCCGTCTGACTGTCTGACACACTCACACACACAAGAAACTCAGATTCGAGACGGTGGAAATGACAGTTGGATGCACTTTTTAGTGTCGCAATCGTGTGTAAATGGGAGCTGGCTTTTAAGGCCGTAGGTGCCAAGAAGGCGGTCCAAGTTTTGGCCGCGCAAAACAAGTTAGATACGAGTCAGTAAGCTGGAGATGCCTATTGATAAGCCAGGCAAGTTTTTGAAAGAGTGCGCCTAAGTGTCTGCCCGCAGCATTTGGCATAATTCAATTGTAATTCTGTAATTTTGTCAATTTGTAAAGTGAAGTGCGGACGAAGTGACTCACAAAGCTCTGCCTGAGCTCGCAATCTCATCTTCAATTCACATGAATACATTTTGCTCTTAAGTGTCCAAGCACTTGAACATGCCTTTTGGCCGCTGTCAAGTGGGAAATTGTGGTCAGGCCATTATAACTTGTATAAGTCTAACCAAACTCCCACTCTCTCTCTCTCTCTTTCTCTGTCTCTCTCTCTCTTGCTATCACTCAAGTGGCGGTTGGTAAATTTTTTGGCTGTGCCATTTTCGAAATTAAATTCAAACTGACATCGTATCAATTTAAATCAAATGAAGTGCACTTTTTGTTCGGCCCGACTGCGCTCGAAAACTGCTCAACTATTGAGAGCATAGAAGAGAGAGATAGAGAGAAAGAGAGAGAGACAGAGAGAGTGAGAGAGAGAGAGAGAGAGAGAGAGGGAGAGAGAGAGAGAATGAGGGAGGTAGAGCACAGGCCGGAAAGCAATCAGGCGTATCCTTTAAGTGCTGAGCCAAAAGTGGCATCAACTTTAGCATAGTTTTTGGCCGACTCCGAGTTGACATAATTTCCAGTTGCCCCGAGTTCAGCTAGCACGTGCGAATGCCAGTAGTAGTTATGCCCAAAGTTCGAGTCGTGTTGCCCAGTTAAAGTTGGCTCTGGCTCAGCTGCAGCTCATTACGTGGCCAGCAGGCCAAATGATGTGACAACTTGCCGACCAAATTAGAATTCGTACATGCAAGTATTCAACTGTCCGAGCGGGGACTGGGCCATGGCCAGGGCCGGGGCAGGGGGTTGCAAAACACCTGGCCAATTTACGACGGCCACTCCAGCCGGAAACGATGGCAGCAATTTAATGAGCTGCCATTTATATAAAAAGCAGCAAA